CGGTATATAGATGAGGGGGCGGTATAACTGGTTATTTAGAAAAAGGTAATGACAATGGTGAGGGGGGCAGTATATTGGTGAGGGGTGTCTATATACAGGGGTGTGCTCCCCGCGGTCCGTCTCTCACTCTCAGGCCCGGCTCTCCCCCGCTCTCTCCATGTCTCCTCCGCAGCTTTCCCCGGGATGGGCAAGCGGTCTATCGTCACTTCCGGGTCACGTGACGCCGGCCGACGTCAGCACACCGCAGAGGACGCCATGTTGGTTCTTGGCAGGTTTTGCCAGGTGGTGGGCGGAGCCTGTGAGGATAGGATTCCTAATTTCTCCTAATAATCGCCCAAAATCTTCAGTGTGCGTGTGATTGGTAGAGGAGCTCCTCCTCAGGGGAAGTCAGGGACCATCAGTGTATCTCGGGGGAGGGGACGGGACCCTCAAGGTGATAAAAATCCAATTTATGAAGGCGTTAGCTGCGTTATGCCGGGGGGGGAAGACAGTCATGTAACTGGAACTATAGGGGCCCCCCTCCCAAATGTGCATTATCCTCCACGCTGACCACCCACAGTGCAATTCTCTGCCAACCAACCATCCATTGAATTGGGGGAAGCCGCCGATACTCTGGCCATGCAACCCTCCATTTATAGCAATTGTATCTTCACCTCACACTAAACATGGGCGAAGCTGCTGGAAAAATTGTACAACATCAACATCTACACGGCGATAAATCCCGCCAGACTCCACCCACAACCGGTGATTTGTGGGAGGGGCAAGAGTGGAGAAAAACAAGGATATAGACCCAAAAAAACTCAGCCTGGAGTATTTATTGTTCCCCTCCCCCAACCTGGAGTATTAATTGTGCCTATTGTACAGTGATCCTCATCTCTTCCCCAGAGCCGTCCCGTGCAGTACTTCTTCCCCAGAGCCGTCCCCTGCAGTACTTCTTCCCCAGAGCCGTCCCCTGCAGTACCTCTTCTCCTGAGCCGTCCCCTGCAGTACCTCTTCTCCTGAGCCATCCCCTGCAGTACCTCTTCTCCTGAGCCGTCCCCTGCAGCACCTCTTCTCCTGAGCCGTCTCCTGCAGTAAGCCCCAGAGCCGTCCCTTGCAGTACCTCTGCCCCAGAGCCGTCCCCTGCAGTACCTCT